TCCTGAAAGTGCTGACTTTCAGCAGTCAGTATAGGAAGTATCTTAGGCTGGGAGTCCTTCTGTTAATGGAGATCATTAAGAGCTCAGCCCACTGTTGCCCAACACGTTGTATCACTTTCACTGGACCAGAAATTTTTATTGTAAGCAATAAGATCATCTTTCAGGTTGGGTAATTGCCCTTCCTGCAAAAGCTTAGCTTTTGTTGGCTCTGAAACCTTAATTTTCTAACCTAGCCCCACAGGTAGCACTTTCCATCACTCAACACTTATTTAAGGCCTATTCCTAAAGTGGCCTGTTTAGTAAAAAAACCAAATCTCAGTAAGCCTACTTACATCTGATTTTACACCAATGTTTGTTTGCACAGTGCTGTCAAGAGCTTTTCAGATGAAAGACAATGCCTGATGCTATTTACTATTTTGACTGCCACTATCAGCAGGACTGCATAGGAGAGAAATGAGAAGAGCTCATCTGAAATGAGCCTACAGATGAGATCTTCATTAACAGAGATAATCTACAACTCTAGAAAGAGTTTATTAATGTTTTCCTCACCTTGGTGCCAAGCAGGATTATCTGTACAATTGGCAGATATTGTTTCCTGCCCTGTCCCAGCTGGACTTTTATTGTACTGGAGTTACTTGCTGCAGAAATGTCAGCCAAGCACCCAGCTGCCTGCTGCAGCAAGCCTTCCAGGAATGCACCTCAGCATCCTGGGAAATAAAGGCACAGCTGCACCATCCTGTCAGACGTGCATGCTCTCTCAGAAGCTTTCTACTTTCTGGAAGCTACTCAGATGTAATTTCTAAAGCTCAGAAACAATTTATGCTTCTGTTATTCTTACATACTACCTGCACCACAGCTCAAAGGCACAGGCACCTGTTTGCATGGAGAATGCATGGTCAGCCCATGGTCCTGTGTCTCCTGTGTTGGTGTCAAAACAAGGTGCTGAGACAAGGCAGCATTTGCCTCCTCACCTGCTCCTTCAATCACTGTAGCCCTCAGCATGAAGTGCTGCCAGTCCTAACCATGGCTGTTTCTCTCCCAGTGCCATATCCCTGTGGGAGAATCACAGCTCCTGAAGTAAAGAGCAAGCTAACCCGAGCCATAAACACCTTTGAGCACTGGAACATCACCACCGAAAACGATGCTCAGGACGAGGCACTCGACGACCTCATAGAAACCAGCACTGCTGCCTCCACGAAGATCACACCAATAATTAAGACGGGCACACGAGTTGTTGGTGGGTCAGACAGCATGAAAGGCGAGGTGCCTTGGCAGGTACTGGCTATTTCTAAAGCTCCCTGTAACCCCAGCCATTGTGGTCTCTGTGCATTTCTTTCTGAGTGCAGGACCAGCTTACTTCTACATAGCCAAGGCCCATCTCTGAGGTTAGTTTAGCGATAGATCTTAAGTCTGACAGGAGCACAGCTTTTTTCTGTACAGAGTTTTATGCCACAGAAATACAACTCGGCTGGCTGTGTGCAATCCTGGCAAAAAACATAGAATTCAGAGTCACAGCAGCTTTATCTGGTGGTGCACAAAGGACCCAGGTTTGAGCTACAGCAGCAAATTCCCCAATAGTCCCTGAATTTACCAAGATTAAGCCAAAGGCTGAGGGAAGGGAGCTTTGCAAGGCACAGCTTTGCAAGGAACAATGCAGCTCATTTTTTGGCTCCATCAACAGATCCATGATAATTTATACCAACAAAGGATCAGTCCTTGTATGACATCTACCAAATCCAGCTGCTATTTCTTTATCCAACTTGTGACATTGTAGTCATCTCTACATCACCAGAAGTGACAACACAGGTGGTGGGGGGGGAAGGTTGCAGTGAAACCTCCTCCATCTCACCACTCTGCACATACTTTTAAGTAGTCAAAAGGAAAGTCAGCTCCTAGCTTGGATCTTTTTCAAAGTCATCTACTGCCTTTAAATTTTGCTCTGGCTTCAGTGAGCACAGAAATCTTAGTGGCTGATAGAGCAACATGATAAATTCAGATGAGATTTTAGGAATGACAAATCTCTTTCTGTTGTAAGCTCAGGCACAGACTGACACTGGTGATGTCAATGAAAAGTTGCCCATGTAAATGTCCATTCACAGAGATCTGCCGAGGGAGTGAAGCAGTGAGCAAGGGATGTGCAGAAAGGTCAGGAGCAGGCATCTGCCCTCTGTTTCAGATACATAAGCCAGTAATGTGTCAGGGACATACATGGCCACCAGAAGCAGGAGTGGTAATTTTGTTGGGAGGTCACGTTTTGTGTCTGGAAGGAAGAGGCTGTATGGCTGCCCTGGCTATGCAGAGCTTTCTGGCACAGCCTTCTGTGATGCTGGCATTCACCACACATTCACAGAGAGACAGGAGGAGAACCAGAAAGTTAAATATGAGTAATCAGTATCCATAAAGAAAGTAAATTCACACACTACAAGCCCACCGAGTCTGGCTGGTTGGCTGTGCTCATGGAGACCTTTACCTCTCCAGACACCTGAAAAAATCTCGGTTGCCCTTTTGTTAACTGGCAAATGCAGATGCTCAGCCCGCTGGGATCCAGGCAGGAAGGCTGCTGTGCTCACCTGGGACTTGGCATGGTTGTGAGGCTCAGATGCCAGTGAAGTGCCTTTAAATCATGTCACACTCTTCTCTCTGCCTGCTCCATGGGCAGTCTCGCACCCACAGGCACCCATGGGTGCCAGGCTCCGTGGTGGCAGCCACCATCAGCAGCCTGTCCTGCCCTCCTGTGGCCAGGACACCAGGGATGGAGATGGCTGTGGAGGTGCTCTGGTTTATCACAGTGAGTGAGCTTCATCCTCTTCATTATGGATACTGAGCTCCTAAAATGCAGCCAGCTCTGCCTAATGAGGCATCAAATGAGTAAATACATGGAACGTATGGGGCAGATAGATGGTGATGAGCCATGTCACATGAAAGGAACAAAAGGGATGAATTACAAAGCATTCTTTTTTTAAGCACAGACCACCAAGTCAGCTGATCAATTTAATTAGAACTTTTAGCATAAGGTATGACCTGGCCTGTACTCCATAAATGGCAAGGCAGTTAGGTACCCAAATAAAACATGTAGTTAAGATTTTGTCCCTAGTTAACCAGTTAAGATCTAGTCACTGGCAAAACACTTTTAGGAGGTTTGTGTGGAATGCTTGTATTTTGGATGCTCTAAGTTTTATGCTGAGGCTTCTGTTGAGGGTTGTCTGCTCTTCCAGCCTGGCAGCAAAGGGAATGGAAGGGGACACAAACATGTGTACAGTGTTGGTCATGCTCTATGACAGAGCAAGGGCACAAAGGGGCAGGGACTCCATAAGGAACAGCATCTTTGGCAGCACTGGCTCTGTATGACCTAAACACACCCTGTTCTGTAGCCAAACAAAACCCTCGCATCCCACCAATTTCCCCAAACCCACACGTGTGATTTTCTTCTGCTCCCACAGGTCCATCTGGTGAACAGCCATGATGTGGGCTTCTGTGGCGCGTCCATCATCAACGAGAAATGGATAGTGACAGCAGCGCACTGCCTGCAGCCAGGTGACAACGTCACTGCTGTGGCAGGTGAGCTCTCGAGTGGCATCGGGCCAGTGCAGGCAAGGCATGTGGGACTGGCAATGGCCAGGCACAAGGCATTGCACAGAGCCCTGGGACCCACACCACCATGATGGTCAGCAGTGTGACACCAGTTGCTTTTGGGCACCAGGGCCCCAGTTGCAGATTGCAGCATTTTGGCAGCCTGGTCTCTGCAGGTACCATCCCCTCTGGTGGGAGCAATGAGCTGGGTCTGGCCTCGGTCCCAAAGCCACAGACTTGAGAAACCAGCTCAACCCGACCACAGACAGACATCTCACCTGAGCCAAAGGGAATGCCAGGCTGCTTAAAAAACCTGGTGGGCATCAGTTAAGATGCCACTTCATGAGGTGGTATGATGGATTTTTATCTCTGCTGGCTACGTAGGAACTCACTGTGGATTTCTGCTTACACAGAGTTTTCATACAGCTCTCAGGGAATGGATTTGTGTGGCTGATGCAAGAGGGGCATCAGCAGCCTAACGCCCTGCAAAGAGAAGATTACTGGTTTTGCTCCTAGCTTCTTTAGAAGTAAACAGAATTTACGGATTGAACTAGAGAAATTGGGCTGGCATGTGGGAAAGTGTGCTTTTACAAAAGGGTCTCTGGAGAGTTAGGCAGGGACAGCATGGCCGGTCTGCGTGATGCTGCTACTTTATAAAACAAATGCATCTCCACTTGAAAATTTTTTTCCTCCCTGACCCTTAGTACTCAGACATCCCAGGCCACCTGCTAATAACTCCACATGGGGCTTGGCAAGTGTTGTGGAGCCACATTTCACAGCTGTGGCAGAATCAGCTTCCCCAGATTATTTATTTCTACCCTGTCTGCATATCTAGCATAGGAGGGTTACACTGATAGGTATAGGAGGGGAATCCTGATAGGGTTAGTAATTGCTACAAGGGACACTGAGTGGAGGCAGGGAAGAATCATGCTTTCTGTTTAAACCCTATGAAATACATTGCGGACAAAAATGACGCTCTACCTGAGCCCTGAAACACTGAGTTCATATCTACAGAAACAAGCCCAGCAAGAGGGCTCCTGCTACATCTTCATCTTCCATCTTCACATGAGCAAGCTCCTGGGTGCGTCTGGCCAGATCTTGGGGACTGAGGGCCGTGAAGCTGAGCACCACCTGCCCGACACTGGCAGGATGAAGCTCACAGCTTACACACAGCATTTTTTGCTATCAACTTTCAGGTAATTTTGCTGGAAAGCCCAGCCTTGCATCTGCTAACATGAGAAAATACAAAATGCCCAATGCAAAACAAGCCTCCCTCTAGAAAAGCACCTGGGCAGAGGTTTTGCAATTGCTGCATCTGCACACAAACTGCCTCTCCTGTCAGGCTCTATCCTGCATGTCCCACACCCCTTCACTTAGGTTACATTATCAGCCAGGTCTCCTCAAGCTACCTTCACACCTCTCTGCAGCACTGCTAGCTCTCCAGGGGAGGATTTTGGATGGGCAGCAAGTCAAGAAAGCAAAACACAATTCTGCAGGGCTTCAGAGACTGTTGAATTTGTGCCTGCATCACATACATTGTGTGGACCTCCAAGTCTTTTGTCTCCATTCACATTAAATGTTCAGCTGTGTCTATAGCATCTTGGAAGGTCCAAAAATTGATAGCAGGGGGTGGAAGAAGTATTCCCCTCCCCTCTCCTTCTTTGCCTCTCTACTTTCATCCCTGAAGCATATTTTCAGGTCCCCAGCAACAGTAAGCAACCATAGCATAAGAAAAAAAAACCTTCTGAAAGTCTCCCCCACATCTCTCTTGCATTTATACTGGAGAAACACAGCCTGCAAAGAAGCTGACATTCATGCTCGGCTGCAAAAGAAACCAACAAACCCTCACAGAACACATCAGCGGCACTAGCCACCAAATCCACCTCGACAGGCACAGGGACAACCGTGAACACCGAAAGCCGCCTCACCTTTCCGGCTGGGCAAATGCCTCGAAAGGCAGACCCCAGCAGCCACAGAATGCTGCCGGGGCCAGCAGTTCTGCAGATATTGTTTAGAAGAGACGGTATATTCTGGAGATTACAGCAAAGCATGTAGAAAAAATGCAGCAGAGGTTAAACACGCTCTGCACCTCTCGGGCTGCGAGAAAGCAAGCGGGAAAACTCATCCTGCTCAGGAGCCTTCAGCATGGGCAGGAAAGTGGATTTGGCTACAGACAGCCCCAGATGCTGGCCATTTGCCCACCTGAGGCCACAGAACATTTTCCCTTTCCTCTACCTGTTACACAAGCAGGAGGGGAGGTAACGGACTGCCAGCAACTCAATCACAGAAGCCTGCAATCGCACACAGCTGAGCCTCATGTGGGTGGCAGGGACCAGAGGACACCTGCGAGCATTGGGGTGGGGGGGAGCATTTCCTAGCCCCCTGCACCCTGTTCTGCACCATGTCATTTTAGAAAAGGGAAGGTCAGGTTTCTTTTCACAAATAAATGATTTATTTTAAGCACAAATTTTTAATTCTAGAGGCTTTCTCCCACTTTGGTGTGAGGGCAAAATCCCCTTATATCCTTTTGAGGGTGCTAAATCTCAAAAACAGGCACATTGGTGCTAACCTTGGCAAATGCATCTGGACCTTTGGCACACGATTGGCCAGTGTGCGCCCAGTGTCACATCTGGGGATTCAGGTCCTGCTGGCTGTGGAGACCAAGGACGTGCTGCCATGGGGGGACCTCCAAAGCCCTTTGACAAGGAGCAAGCAGCCTTGCCGGCACTGGGCTTGCAGCAGCCTCAGGACTGGGGTGTGCAGCGCTTATCCCTTTGCAACCACCTGGCTGGGGCAATGTCGCTTTGGGATGGCATCCTCTGGGTATGGTCGCTGGCCCAGCCATGAAGCCCAAGCCACGTTTGTCTCTGCAGGTGAATACAACACCAACGAGAAAGACAACACGGAGCAGCGGCGTAAAGTGGTGAAAGTCCTTCCCCACCCCACGTACAACGCCACGATCAACAAGCACCACAATGACATCGCCCTCCTGGAGCTGGACCAGCCACTCAGCTTCAACAGCTATGTCACCCCCATCTGCATTGGCAGCCGGGAGTTCACCAACGCCCTGCTGAAGCATGGGACGGGGACGGTGAGCGGCTGGGGCAGCACACACTTCCGCGGCCAGACCGCCACTGTTCTCCAGAGCCTC